TCTTGGCGGACCGTAGTCGTTGTGAACGTTCGGCGTGTTTCTGACCTCGTACACGCTTTTATAGGTGCTGAGAGACTCGGCTGTCGGGTCGCTGTCGCCCGTAGATCTCTAAGACAACGAAGGCCATATCTTAGAGAGGACATTGTACCTATCGTATTCTCGTCATGGCCTTGCGCCTACCAAGTCAATCGATTAATAGGGAGGGGGGAATGCTGAGCGTAGTAGGTGTGATACGCTGATGGCTGATGGGGACTTGGTTGCATCAATTGAAGCACTTTTTCAAATACAATGCCCCAAATTCAATTGGACGGTGTATCAGATATTCCGATTACCGCCCACCTGATAGCGTGAGAAGGCGGGGTCCGAACCTTAAGGTACCATACCAGGATTTGCTAGGTCCAATAAACCATTAATTGATATTCGGTTTATAATTAAGAAATTTCAACGTTTATAAGGATGTAAATACTTAAATAAGAATTGGTAAATATAAATATTTTAATTAATTTAAATATTTAATAAAATTTAAACGTTATAATCCGTTAACGTTAAAAACGGTAAACGTTAAAAATATTTTAAACGTTAAAAAATATAAACGTTAAAACCTTTTATACATTTAATAAATATAAACGTTAATATTTTATATACGTTTAAAAAATATAAATTATAAATAAATTATTATATAAAATATAAAACATGTAAAAAATAAATATATTTTTATATTATATACCATTATTATAATATATTATTATATATTATCGTATATTATTATTATTATATATTCGCATTTAAAATAAAATCATTTTTATTATTATTACTTTTATAATTAAACCACGGATATATTATAACTTATAACTTATTTAAATAAATTATAAGACATTATAATATTATTTATTTTATAATTTTAATTAATATATTTTTTTTTTTTTTTAATTTATAAAGTACGTATTAATTTTAACGTTTTAACGTTAAAAAATTTAAACGTTAAAAGTTATAAACGTTAAAAATATTTTAAACGTTTAAACGGTTTAAACGTTTAAATTTAATTAAATATATATATTTATTAACGCGTAATAATTTAAACATTTAACTACATATAACTATTAAATAACTATTAATTATATTTAACTATTGGTAAACTGTTTACTGGACCTTGCAAGTCCCCCTATGGTACAATTCAAATTGTTTCGACCAGACTTTAAAGTGGGGTGTTAGTGCCTGATGGAAATTTGAATTGAGCCAGAGCGAAATTCCAGGTTGCGGTTGCCCCGCCTCCTGCTTTTGCGAAAGTAGAAAAAAAAAATCTGTGACTCCCAAATCAACTTTCAACTTCCCCTCCTCTCATCTTCTACTCGACAAGCACCAGATCTCAAAATCATCATGGCGCCATTCGGAAAACTCTTCACTAAGGAGGTATGTAACAATAAACTAATAACTAAAATTCCCTTTTCTTAATTTTCTGCGCAAATGCTGACATGTATCCGTCGCGCAGCTCAACCCCCGCTCTACCGGGATCCTCGCGGTTGCGAAGGCCAACGGGTTGGACCTGGAGGTCGTCGAGGCCGACACAGTCAACCCGTCTCCTGAGTTCCTCAAGGCGAACCCCCTCGCCAAGATCCCTACCTTCGTTGGTAGCGATGGCTACACCTTGACTGAGTCTATCGCCATTGCCATCTACGGTACGTACTTTATATTTCTAGATTGAATTCGTACTTCCAACACCTCTACCAATGGCATCAAATGATGACCTAGACATTATTCTAACAGTTATCCCTATCTGAAAATTTCTGTTGATCATGGTTCTACTTTCTGATTATATCGCCTTTTATTCATTGCTTATTCACGCTTAAAATGATGTGGGAAATTACTAATTTCTCATTGTTCAGTCACCTCTCAGAACGAGAAGACCACCCTTCTTGGCAAGACTAAGCAAGAGTAAGTCATAGTCTTGTAATGGTACCTAAAGAATCACGTACTAACATCGTATAGCTACGCTTCTATTCTGAAGTGGACGTCATACTTCAACACCGAGGTTCTTCCCAAGCTCGCTGCTTGGTACCGCCCTCTTTTGGGCTTGGACCCCTACAACAAGAAGGGTGTTGAAGACGCCGCCAAGAACTCGGAGAAGGTTATCTCCGTTGTCGAGGAGCACCTTCTTCACAACACCTACCTTGTTGGCGAGCGTATTACCCTTGCTGATCTGTTCGCTGCTGGCATCATTTCGCGCGGCTTCCAGTACTTCTTTGACAAGCAGTGGCGCTCTGAGCACCCCAACGTCGCTCGATGGTACGAGACTGTCTACAACCAGCCCATCTACGCCGAAGTGTCCAAGCCTCTTGAGCTTCTTGACGCTCCCAAGTTAACCAACGTCCCTCCCAAGAAGACCGAGCAGGCCAAGCCTAAGGCTGCTCCCAAGGCCGCCCCTAAGCCCGCAGAGGAAGAGGAGGCCGCGCCTGCTCCCAAGCCTAAGCACCCTCTTGAGGCGCTTCCGCGATCAGAGTTCGCTCTTGACGATTTCAAGCGCTTCTACTCGAACAACGATGAGGACGTTTCCCTCAAGTATTTCTGGGAAAATGTCCCTTTCACGGACTACTCCATCTGGAAGGTCAAGTACAAGTACAACGATGAGTTGACTTTGACTTTCATGTCCAGCAACCTGATTACTGGATTCAACACCCGCCTTGAGGCCTCTCGCAAGTACCTCTTCGGCTGTGCCTCCGTGTTCGGCGAGACCAACGACTCGGTTATCGAGGGCGCCTTTGTCATCCGAGGTGATGACTACCTCCCTGTCTTTGACGTCGCTCCCGACTACGAGAGCTACGAGTTCACTAAGCTGGACCCTAACAACCCTGAGGACAGGGCCTATGTCGAATCCATGTGGACATGGGACAAGCCTGTCGTCTACAACGACAAGGAGTACAAGCACGCTTCCGGCAAGGTCTTCAAATAAGCTAATATCGCATTGTTATGAGGATGTATGGTTATGAGCTAACGAGTTATGCAAAGGGGGCCGGCTTAGGGATAGGGACAATAAATACCAGACCCAAAGAGGTTAACTTATAAGTAGCAACAGGTTTCTGTGTAGTACCTGAAATATGCTAGTCGTCAAACCATTCTACGTCTTTTGAAGTATCGTGCATGTCCCAAGTTCTATAAAGAAGCGGGGAAACTGAATGTCTATTTTTAGTCACTTAAAGGAATTCAGCTAACTAAGATATGCACATTCATTGAAAGCGCCCTCATGATTCGTCTGGTAAGTCGCCTATGACTAGTATATAATTCCAGGCCAGTTCATCTTGCTCGAACTATTTATCCGTAAACTACAACATCAGAATCGAAATTCTTTGAAACCTTACGATCTACACTTTATTAGTTCATATCATTACGACTAAATATCCCATCATTATGAAGGGCGCTCCAGGAACTCATCACACCCGAAACCGGGACGAAGTTGGTCTCATGCTTACTAGTCCCGACAGTCAACCTACATTATGTTCTGTCATGTAAAACGACGGCCTTTTACAAGGACAGCATATATGTATATAAAATAGAGTCAGAATTTAGCAGAATAAAGGGGGGTAATATTAAGGATTGAGAAATACGAGTAATGATGGAGGGGGGCTAGTTAAGACTGGCTTATATGGAAATGACTCTTGATGGGATGGTTAGGGTATTAGGTGATGGGCAATGAATTTCCGGTTTTTTGTATTATGTCGTATATAATTATTTCGTCGGCATATTATTGATTATACGAGGGATACTAAACACATATCAATCCAATTTAGGGTAGGTACCATAGACGAGGGCAAAAGTCTTGACGTGGTATTTGTAGAATAGTATACCTAACTATGAAATATCCCCCGTCTTAGTTCTATTGTTTTATATATAGATAACTACCTATCACATCACACGAGAAAGCTGATATAATGACAAAGGGGAAGACGCCAGAATACATAGATAGATAGCCCGTAAGTTTCGAACCAAATAAACAAGGTTACCTAACTTTCAACGGAAGAACTTTTGAACTTTTTGCCCCTTTCACTTTATGTCAGGCCAGAATCTACCTACCTACCTAGCCCGGTCGATTATACATTAGGTACCTAGGGTTTAGAAACTTCAGGTTCTTCTTGTTACCTCGCTTGAGGTCCGTATACCGGAAGCCGATAATATCAATATATGTCCCAATAGTTTATACCTCTTTCACGTACGACCATAGGATCTGGAAAATTCGGGATCCCGTCCGCTCTCCCCTAGACAAACCAGATACCGCCGGACTAGTAGTTGGGTCGGTGACGACCAGCGAATCCCTGGTGTTGTACGTTTCTTTCTTTTTTTTTTCGTTTCTTTTCTTTTCTTTTTTTTTTCCTGCTACCTTTTTTTCTTTTTTCTTTTTGCCTATTTATATAGGCAGTTTAATGTATTTATTCTTCGACATATTGGTCTTAGCTTTCCCATTCTCTTGGTCTTTTGGTTTGGTGTTGGTATCGATGTTGTGTTTCTAGAGTCTGTCTTATTAACCCCTATTTAACTACGTTACACTTGGCTGCTTTACTGAAGGCTACCCCGGCGCTACTTGGAGTATAGGTATTTAGGAAAATTGCTCTACTTTTAAGAGTATAAATCCCCTTATCGTAGCTTTACATCTTACAAGGCACAAAAGAACCACGAATCATTATCCTATGTTTTTCTATGGTCTCTAACCACTATGCTTGTACGGAGTATTTTAGTACCTCACCCTTGGCCTCTTTATCGTATTAAATAAGTTTTGATCAAAGATAACTTAGCTACTAGCTACCTTATTAACACAAATCGACTCCATGAATTCCTCTAGATTCTCCATGTAGGAATTGATCAAGATCGCCGCAGGGCTCTACTTATATAATGGTTTTCATTCATATCGAGTGACAACACTAAATACATAATCTGCAAAGGTATGTTGTAGAACTATACTGAAAACATGGCTTTTAACTATACCACCTTTGCGACGGAAAGCCCAATACAGATTACTCGTAAGTAAATCCCTCATAAGCCTCAAAGTCGGGGCGCGCCAAGATACCTTCTACCCACACACCGCTCTTCGATTTCAACGCCAACGAGCTGCCGTCCACCTCGCCTATGAGGTCGCTGCAAACCTCGCGTTCGACATGAACTTCTACGGACTGAATATCTGTGATGTCCATATAGATCCTTGTCGTCGGGAGATATTCTTGCTCACGCCGCTTATAGTAGTAAATCGACGGACCCTCAAAGCAAAAATTCACGAAGAACAGTCGGATGGCACTACTGGGCGAACCTATATGTCTCACTGGCCATAAAAGGTCGACCGCCTCTCTAACAATATCGATGCCCCTCTCTTCCGCAAGTGTGGGTCGTGGGTATGGGTTGGTATCAGGGAAGTCTGGCCAGCTCGGTAAGAAGCCGAGAGAGACTTGGAGAAACAGATATTGTAAATTAATAAGCTTATCATTGATGGACTGGACAGTTTGCATCCACTGCGTAAGATCAGGGGAGTATAGACTGATCTCTAGTGATCGAAGACTGTGTAATAATGCATGGCTGGAGATGAAGCGGGTAAAAGATTCGTTTGCTTCTTTTCCAATTTCGGAGAGTGTGTAGCAATCGTGATTTATAGTGAGGTGATTAATGGAGAAGAATACACTCTGCGCGGCTGCATTAAATTCCTTACTTACTAGGAACAATGGTGTCGGAGGCCGCCAACAACGGCAATGCGGCGAGTAAGAGGCATGTCGTACACTGCAGAAGCAACCTGTAATGGAGGCATATTTGCCTTCCACTTTTCCCCCACACGTTCGAAACTGGCAGGCATAATGGGTACAGCTGCTACACTTCCGATGCGGGCATGATATTCGGCACTGGTCTTCGCTATAAATATTACATGCTCTGTGGGCATTAGGGTGGCATGTATGAAACGGAGGCTCGTGCGGTTCTTCGCAAGAATAGGGTTGAAGATGGTACTTCTCCAATGAGGTCCATTGAACGTGGTTTAAAGGTGTAACTAGATCGGTATACTCTAATATCTCTAGCTGAATCTCTAGTGGAAGCCGTAGAAAAGGAAAGCTCTCGGGTGGCTGCTTGAGTGGTCGCTGCCCTAGGGCGTGTAGGGCAGCCTTTCGGGCAATATTTTCAAGCCGGCTATTAGGCTTATTGCTAAGTCGGATCTCGCAGCTGGACAAGGTATGCAGGTAACGAAGGGGTTTAACAGCAAGATATGCTGTCTCTTCATCATCCACGTCGCAAATCAGGCCGAGCTTGAGGTTTTGAGTTTCAATTCGCGAACCGATGAATCGTGCCGTATTTTCCCATCTTTCAAGTAGAGAACGGTGATCGGGGATGGTGCTGACTATTGGTTTGATATCGCTGAGACATTTTGGACGCTCGCCGCAACAATCCCAGAAGTAGATGGCGTTTAGGGAGAATTTCAAAGACGACAGAGACGATATAAAAGAGGCAGGAAGTTGGCACAAGGACTGCGGATCTTTTGTGCAGAAGCAATTGGTCGAGAACAGTATACTAGAGACTTCTTTGTAGATAGCTCGACAGGTGATAAGTAAGTTGAGAGAAAATGTAAGATCGGGTATGTCTTTGCAGTGCTGTAGTTCCATATGCCGACGAATTTCCCTACGTTCTTCGCGGCCCACGTGGATATCAGTGTTGGTGACCAGGCCAGCTAAGCAATAAATGCGACGTCGAATGATGGCAGGGAGATCAAGAAATGATCGCGGTGTAGATTGTTCCATTTTGACGCGCGTAGAAAGATAAGTAAACTGTTGTGTTAGATGAGAGGCAAGTAAGACGAGATAAGATGAGTTATGAGTAGTTGGTGTAGTTGGTGAATTTGTTGGGTGTTGGTTACCAAAAACTTAAGGTACCTACACCTATGTCTGTTCCTTCCAACTATAACACGTGTGGTTAAAAAGTGGTACAACTGCCTTTTCTAACTCCATTAGTAATAAGCTGCCTGTAGTTTTCTTTCATTTGGTTACTTTCGTAGGTAAGACAAAGTTGCGCTAGGGAGTAGAGTTAGTTATAAGCTCATTTAGAGTTGGAGGAAGAAAAGGCCATCGTTCATGCAACCGCGCAAACAAACAATGACATGCAAGGGCAAGTTACTATAGCGGTTACGATCCCTCGCGATTTACTAACCGCCTATTGCCAAAGCAGTAATTCTGAAATATGCAACCAACATCATTTATATGTGCCTGATTTTAAGTATATTATTACGTCTAATCGCTTCTCCAATCCTTCGGTAGCCTCTAAGCATCTCGTTACCACGACTTATTGATTACAGTGTGTGCGTGTGTGTGTGTTTAACGCCGTGGCTGGCATCCCTAGGGGAATACAGCGCGTAAGGCTACTAATCTCATTAGGTATCTTACAAGTCTTACCTTAAGAGTCATACATGATCATTTAATCCCTTTCAATCATGATTACCAGACGGGGTTTTATTGGTTATAGTGGCATTGTTGGTAGATGATCTATAACCACCCTGGCTTTTAACCACGTAGTTTTTACTTCTGACTACCTCTAACCGCCAGGTCGGTGTTAAAATATATCCTAACATGGCATACCTTTTGTCACAATGATGGGGGCAAGGGAGTATTGGGCTATTCATCCAACACTAATCTATACATGTAGGGAGTTTGTATAAGATATATAACTCGATGGAAGAGCTGAATAGAATGAAAGAAGGCAGAATTCTGCATCATGATTGACCTCTATACCTATATCTACATTATATACTTGTTTAACAGATCTTATTATGTATATTCTCGCCGCTTTCATCAGCATCTGTTGGTTCGTTGGCCTGACCAGAGCTGTTTCTCGTTATATGCCCCCAGCTGATGGACAGCGTGCAATGGACTTGTTTATAAGTAGCTCTAGTGGCTCTGGCGACTTCGATAAAAAAGACATGGCACGCCTCGTACATAGAAAAAGGCTTTGACGAGATGAATATGGAAACATTGCACAGGATAGCCAGTGCACACTTCAATTGGCTATTAGCCCAGCAATCGCAATATAAAATTACTGATCGATATGGTGGTTGTATTTTATCCGCCTTATGGACACCAGATACCAATTCGGTCTATGTCTCGACTAGGGCACGAGGCCCTTATTGGGTGGCAATGGCAACTGATAAAAAAGCCGCTCCGGTTTGGCGTTCCCGGACCGAAAACTGGAAAAAGGGAGCCAAAACTGATTTTCATGTCGAAGACGCTACCTACCATTGGTCCGAAGTAGTTAGGAAGAGCGCTGGCCATCCTATCCGGCCTCTTCCCGACGGCGGTACAGCAGCAAAAACGAAATATCCCGAGGGGTCTATGATAGCAACCTGGGGCTTTCACGGCCAAGAGGCTCAAAGTAATCCGGCTATAAAGAAAACCGGCCGTCCAATCGATCTGTGCAGCGCCAGAGATGCGAGAGGGATGACCTGTCAGCAGATGGCAGACGATCTCGGCGTAAAATATGAGCCAGTCACCAATCAACCACCGGCAGAGCAATCTATAGACAGTAGTCCTCCCGACGGGGAGGAAATTTCCGACGAGCCATGCGGTAGTAACGCTGCCAGAAGAAATAATCGTGGCTTTCTCCGTAAATATAGGAAGAGAGACGCAGAAAGCGAATGTTCTATCAGCTACGGCATACCTACATCACTTGTTATATCCACTGTTACAGGTTTACTCTCGCCAGCAAGCTCTTACGATAAAGGTCCGTCTACACACTCTAGTCCCGTGACGGCACCCCCGCCGCCGCCACCAAAGCCGTCATGTGTTATGCAAGATATGGACCCGGGTCTAGGAATAACTGCTCCAGGGTGTATCTGCGAGGGCACAACAACGCTTCCACTACTTACCCTTCCGTCAGCATCTGTGTATACCCAGAGCTGTGACTATACTGCTCTACCAACCAAGACCTTGCCAAACCCCATCAGTATCTCGACTGGGACGTGGACTATTGGTTGCCAAGCATGTACTGGTGTTGGCGGGGCTGAGGTTCCCGCCGCTGCTACCTGTACTTCGGTTCCGTCTTGCACAGTTACTCCTTTAGCCCAGTCTTTCGGCGTCCTTTTATCCAACACGTCCGTCCCCGTCGGTGATGCGGATGACAAAAACGGAGGCAAGGACCTCAGGCAGAACCTTTATAGCCAGCTTCACCCTTTGTGTCCCGATAACTCGAATGTATGCGACTATACCAGGGGCGCTGAGATCAAGAACATGGGCACTGTGGTATCCGGCGGAGATGCTTATCTGACACTCCAGGCCAAGATCATAGGAAGCCAATAGTGAGTTAGCCCTAGCCATCGCTACTACCATCTTTCACTAATAACTTGCTCCATCAAATAGCAATAGTACAGACACCCGAGAACGCCTACTTGCTGCAGCCGTAGCCAGTTGGGAACGAGCCGCCTCCCAATCCTGCCAAGAAGTCGACTATGAATCCGACGCGGATCCTACAGGATCAGGCTGCGGAAGTGGGCCAATTCTCGACGGACGAAGTCCCTCTCCATCAGGAGACAACAATAAGTCTCTAGGCAAACGCATTATAGACGGCCCACCGCAAGAAATGGTCTGCCACTATAGAGGACGCCTCTGCGCAGGGCCGGAAGTCGTCAGTAAGTGGTCCCAAGCGATGGGAACTCACTAATTGTTACCCCCTGATATCCTATGGGGAGTATCCGAGTTTAGCACGCTGACCTTTATTAATAGCTGCTATAATGGGGACCTTGGAGGACCCATACATGAACTACATGCAAATCAAGTTCGAGCTCGTCTCCGACAACAAGGACTCGGCGTTTGCGGAGTTTGTATGCGACCTAGTTATCGACTCTATCACGGACTTGAGCATGGCTGTGATGCCGGAGCTGGCGCCGGCTGAGCTTTTCGAACAACTTGAGTTGGAGTCGTTATGTAAGTGAGAGATGATTGGTGGATAGAACGTTGAATTTGGGGTTGAAATACGTTTGAGATCTATTTCATATGTCGTTCAAAGATATTTCTTTTTATTTTGTATTATTTAGAGCGTAGTCATTATATTTATTCACGGCTATACGGCAAATTAAGGTTTCCGAGGAATAGTCGGATGGGGGTAGGTTCAGGGGCAGATCTACTGGGATGTTGGGTATAAGAGGCACGCAGCGCCCTCAGATGAGGATAGAAGGCTAGGCGTTAATACTTTAACTCGATCATATTGACATTCGCTATGTATGGCACTAATCAATAGTTTCATCTAACAAAGGTCTACTTGTTCAAATCAAGCATACCACAAGTATGAAAGGTAAAGGGTGTACCTAGCTGCCTCTTATAAGTGGACCCTGTTTCTGTAGAGGGCCCTCGGAAAATATTGAAGCTGTCGTAAACCGGTTTATAAGTGTCTAGATAGCTAGTTGTTGCCGTAGAAATAAAGTTCGGATCAAGACTCTGTTAATCCTGGCGTTTTGGATACATAGCATCATCCACCCTCACCATCCGGCTAACCGACCGCAACTCAGTTTCTTCTTCCTTGGGAGCATTGGCTTAAGCGCTGGGCTGCGATAACAAAGTCTTCAACTCTTCGGCGGCCTTCTGTATGGTCGGAGTGTGCTCTGCTTCCCAGGCCTTCACGGTCTCGTCTCCCAGCTTTCCGGTGCCTATGATGGAGAATAAATCTGGCTTGGCAAAAGCTAGCTGAGGCCGCGTTTCGACAACCTTGAGGCCCATGTTGGTAAGAACTCCCTTAGCTTGCTCACTGGCGTTGGCGCCACCTCCACCGCCGTAGCTGACGATGGCAACCGGCTTGCCCTTCCACTCGTGGAGTAAATAGTCGATAGCGTTCTTAGTGCCTCCCGCCATCGAGTAGTTGTACTCGGGGATGACGAGGACATAACCATCGTACTTGATGATCTCAGCACTCCAGGCCTTGGAGTGCTCATATTCGAAAGAGGCCTGCTCGGGTACCACTGCCAGTTGTGTCAGGTGGAGCTCCTAGTAGAATTTATAGACTATTGCAGTCTATTCTTCGAGACTGCGTGGCAATGTAATAGGGAGAATAAAGACAATGCTGTACGTAAGAGCCTACTTACTGATAGGAGCCACTTTTTCGTTATAGACGGGGAGGTTAAACTTGACGACGTCCACATCGGTAACGGATATGCTGTCCGCTGCCAGAGGCTTCTCGATAATATTCCGGACGAAACTGGCTACATTGGGTCCTGCCCGGGTACCCCGGGTACTCATCGTAATAACAGCGACTGATTTCGGAGCCATCTTGAACTTCTTTTCTTGACGTCGGGGCGAGAGATAAAGAGAGAGATGTCAAAGAAGGAGAGTAAGATCTAGTAGGAGGGTAGGCGTGGTGTTTTAAATCCCACTCTGAGGTATGCACGTCTCAAGGTTCTATCCGGCTTCGGGTCCCTCCATTATTGTTGAGCTATAGTCCCATACGTATATATGTAAGTACTAATAAATGCAGGATATTGCAACACTATAACCCGGTGTTAGAGCGCATGCAGTGCTCGCAGCTCGGATGTGTGACAAGTCCGCCCCGGCACCAGGGTGTTGGATTTGTAAGGCGAGATTTGTAAGGCGACTTGTATCTCAAAAAATGATATCGTAAGCTAAGTACGTGGAGAAATAAGCTATGAATTTTTGTCTGTTTCCTATTACGGAACATTCTAGAGACTTGTCGGGCTATCGGACCCTTCTTTTCAACTACTCTGCTACCTACATATTTCACTACTACACTGGAGTTCGCAATCCGTGTCCATCGGGCACTGCGTCCGTTCGGACGCGGATTGCGACAAATATTCAACGTCTTTGCATGGCACATGTTAGGAGGTACTTAAGTGATGTTGTACATTAGAGCAGCTCGTCGAGTTCTGATTGGATGGGGACTAGAATTTTGACTGAATTGAGTAATTGGCGGGGACCGAAAAATGAGTGGGTACTTACTGCGCACACGGAATGTGGGGAAGGGAATCAACGCCGATGGGTGGGCTAGGTACTACCTAACATACATACGCCCGAACAGTACGTCTTGCTTATCGCCGAAGACCATTTCAGGAATTTATCTTCGAGGAAATTGAGAACTTTTTATAATTGGAGACTTCCGTATTATAGGTGCTATACATATAATGCTGACAGCCTACCAGTCACAGAAATTGCAGCAGAGCCGCCGTATTAACAAATCAAATCTCCCGACATTACGCTATCAGCAGCCACAACCCTTCAACCCAGCCTACGTCTAAGACAGAATAACATGACATAAGGTATTTTCTATGCTCCATTACGTACCTATGCCGACGAGGCTCTCACTTACGCGTATTTATGTAAAAAGGCCCCCGCAGAAACAGGATGAAGTCCTGTAGATCAGAACATCCGTTGTGGGGTCCCCGGCCTGGCGGTAATTATGTCCCCGGCTTCACGATATAAATGAGAATTATTGGTCGACCCAGGATTTTGGAAACCCGTAATACTTCATCGACTGGACGCCACAATCCGGACACAAAGTCAAATACCGGCTCAATAACGAGCCGAATGATACGTTAGTTCGGTGTGCGAGTAAATCAAACAAGCAGGACGGAGGAAGTCTTTAAACCGTCCGGTTACCTCTCGCCCCCAACTAGGACGCGTAGTCTATTTATTATGATCAATTGTCCATATCCATGAACATGCCTAATATATTTAGAACTGATTGTCGAACCGTCATTTGTCTTATTTGCCTTAGTTGGGCGCCAATTCTGCTCTTGACGTATAGGTATCGCTATACTATATAATGAACAACAAATATAAAGGAGTTTGAATAATTGTATTTCCGAAAGACCATGCTGTGCCTCCGAAAGAACCAAACATCCTTTCGAAGGGATTTACCACGCTCAAACTCTGGAAATCCATGCACATTTGCTAAGTATTTGATAAGTAACTAAGAATCGATTAATAGGAATGCGATAGGACGGCTTTCTTTAAGAAAATCATTACCAGTCGAACTCGGGACGGATCAAGTATCTTAAAGACTATCCAACTAGCGGTTTAGTATGGCAACCGTGAGCGTTATCGCTATGCAGAACTAAATTACATTTAAGGTAGGTAAGTATAACCTATAATTTGCATATTTAATCTACGCGTCTTTGCTGGACTAGTGTTAGGTCTTTGAGCTTTCTTAATCTTGTTTTCTTCAAGGTTATATACTACTAGTAGTATCACACAGTGATGGGAAGGCATGTAAGTGATATCACTATACGTACACATTACCTAGTTAGCTGACATAGAATTTAAATGGTGGAATGGCCATTTGTTCCTGAGAATCGTTCCCTAATAAGAAAATTTCATACAATCCTTAAGTATATATCACGATATAGGTTTTTATTGGTTTAGATCTATTACGAGATAGACCTAAAGAGCATGGAGAAGCTTCGCTGTTTCGTAATGTACTATAGGTAGCCTTAAATTATAGAGGCTAGTGACTATAAGTACTTGTACTTGAGGCATCCTTTATTCTAAGCTTGACGAGATCTTAATAAGGTCCTTAGCTATGAACTGAAATCCAATTAAGCTACAGCAATCTGAGCCCATTTTAAACAGGACTTATGCCCCCTTCCATGATGAGATCGTTATAAACTACAATCAGATCTTAGAGGCTATATATTTCTGAATGACATATTCTAATAGGCCCGTGCTGTGGTACTATAGGTTATAAGAGAATAGGGCTACCCCGTAAGGTAGCTGCTAAATACGAGGTTTATACAAGGAGGACATGTCTCCCCTAGTTCTTGGGAGTGCATGGGTCAATGTAACTACTAAGTATACTGCTAGCTAGGCTCATGGCCCTCACTCCGTACTACCCGACCCCCTGATATATGCCCGAGTACGAGGGGTTATTGTGTCGAAATTTTTTCCATGGCCCAAATAGGAAAGTAACTCAATGGGCAGTATTTGGCACGTGCATAACCAAACTTGGGCTATTGTGGCATCTTGAAAGGGTGCCCTCTAGCATCAACTGGAATGTAAGCATCTACCTATATCGTGGTAAATATGACAATCTCTAGCTAAGTTGCAAAGGTACGTTAAGATACAAGGCAATTTTGTGGCGGTGATTTGCCTAACAACTGCGCACTATATTAAGAGCAAGTTCCAGAAATGCTCTAACTAGTTAGTCTTTGAAACTATAGGGGCGTCTAGGACAGAGCCTCCAGCTGTATTAGTAGTTTAACAGTTCTTTGTACTTCAACGGTATTGTGTACTTACTTGCGACCTTGTAAGAAGCTACCCAGGTACATATTAGATATTCATCGTTACGAATAGCATTTTCCGATGTACACCTCTGACCCATACCTAGGTAGGTAGGTAAGCAATAATGTGATACTTTGTGCAAGTATTAAGAGTGTATTGAGGAAGTTGTTCAAGATTAAGAAAGCGAAAGTCACGTGCAATTAATCTTTATGTATTAGGTACCTACATGTAGAGTTGCTGCTTCTATGTATGCCGTGAATTTCTATGATGATGGTGATGGTGGGGCTTGGGCTTATCAAAGGGCAGGTAGCTGATTTAAGCATATCAACCCCACTATGCCCCTCTTTCATTTATCCCATACTTACAAACTGCCCATGCACAGACCACTAGCAAGCTTTCTTAGTGGTTGCGGTTGCCTCGTCGGCCAAACACTTGCAAGGCAACAGTAAAATGTCAATAAAAGAATAAAAAAAAAATAGTAATTGGCTTAACGCTAAATGCTAAAAGATGCACTACGTACAAAGCGCAACCTAACATTGTCCAAATCCAAATCTCCCGCCAACAACTTTTCCTAACCGTAAACGCACACATCCACGCATCAACTCTAGCATTCCAACTCTTTCGGCCACGACGAGTAATAGCCATCATGGCTTCGGATCTGGGCCGTATCGCCCAGCTGTTGGATGCGACTCTCGATCCCGCGAAGCGTAGAAAAGGTACGTAAGAGAGCTCCTCTGCCCCGCCCCATGGTGTCGCATATAAGTTATCACTATTTCCACTCTGCGACCACAGCTACTATAGCTTATAGCTGGCCTTAAAAACTAACATTTAAATCGTTACTAGCCGAGAGCGAGCTCAAGAGTGAAGAGGTTAAGCCTCAGTTTTCGTTACAGCTGCTCAAGATAGTAGCAACCGAGAATCTTCAACCCAAGACCCGCCTCGCCGGAGCACTTTACTTCAAAAACTACATCCGACACAACTATGTGGTATGTTATATGCAGTACAATCCAATGCCACGACACGTCTAATGCTAATCTCTACACCGTTCAGGATGAAGAAGGCAACTACAAGCTTCCCATCGAGGAGGTTAACACGATAAAGCAGGAGCTTATTGGGCTTATGATTGCTTGTCCCTCCACCATCCAGACGCAGTTAGGTGAGGCTATCAGCATAATTGCCGATTCTGATTTCTGGAGTCGATGGGATACCCTTGTTGCCGACCTCGTATCGCGCTTCTCGCCTGATAATTTCAAGGTCAACAATGGTGTGCTGGAAGTCGCACACTCCATCTTCGTTAGGTGGCGCCCGCTGTACCGCTCTGACGATCTGTACACCGAGATCAACCACGTACTGAACACATTTGCTGTGCCATTCCTAAATCTTCTAAGTGTAAGGACGCATCCCCACCAGTTGCTCCTGGACCATTTCAGCTAATACTAGTATAGGCTACAGACCAGCAAATCACCTCTCATGCCAACGACAAGGTGGCCCTAAAGGGTTATTTCGATACGATGAGTCTACTCATCAAAGTATTTTACGATCTATCCTGCCAGGATATGCCGCCCCAATTCGAATCGAATTTGGAACACCTATCAACCCTACTCCACAAGTACTTGACCTACGAAAATCCGCTGCTAGCAACAGACGACGATTCGGAAGCTGGTGTAGTTGAAATAGTCAAGGCCGATATCTGCGACGTCTTGCAGCTCTACGTTACGAAGTTCGACGACGATTTCGGTCGATATGCGCAGGTTTTTATTAATAGCGCGTGGAACTTACTCTCCGCGATTGGGCCCGAGACGAAGTACGATAATCTTGTCAGCAAAGCGCTACATTTCCTGACGGCAATTGCCGCGAACCCACGACACTCTGTAGCTTTCAACGACGAATCCGTTTTGGGTCAAGTTGTAGAAAAGGTGGTGCTACCTAACGTTGCGCTGAGAGAGTCCGATATTGAACTATTTGAGGATGAACCCATCGAGTTTATCCGTCGCGACCTTGAGGGGTCAGACACAGATTCACGACGAAGAGCAGCTACCGACTTCCTAAGACAGCTCCAAGGCAACTTCGAGCAATTGGTAACTAATGTTGCAGGAAGATATATCAACCACTATTTGGAGCAAGGCAAGACGAACTGGAAGGACAAGGATACGGCCATCTCGCTATTCTTATCGATCGCAGCCAAAGGAGCGGTGACTGCAGCACATGGCGTCAGGACGGTCAATTCTCTGGTCAACGTAGTCGATTTCTTCCAGCAGCACATTGCCAATGACCTTATTTCCGATGCGGGCATCGAGCCAATCTCCAAGGTCGACGCAATTAAATACCTCTATACCTTCCGAAGCC